ATTCTAAAATGTCTTAGTTGACTTAACATTGTCATCAGAGGTTCTTCTTAATGCATTCGACTTTTCACAAGATCATTCTTCATCTTAAATACCTGCAGACAAAAAAACTTCAAAAGAAAAGTATAGGGAAGCCCCACATTCCTTTTAGTACAGATTTACAAATGTTAATATTTTATTAGATTTGTTCTTTCTATTTACCCTTATATTACCTACCTAGCATCTTAAATGCTTAAGGAAAAGTTGCAAGATATATATGTGTATATATGAATGCATGTATATGTACACACATATATGTACTAAAAAATGCCTACAAAAATAAAACTCAATGAACACAGACTGGAAATTAACATAGATGTGAAACTATACTGAATACTGTTGTTCCTTGTGCCCGTGACTGTGGACGGAGTGTGCCTTCCTGGTTCAGGACCTCTCTGAGAAGCTTGTCTGGTGTGAGTTGCCGTATCTTTGCAGAGGGCTTTAATTAATAAGTGTTCTTTAGTTTTTTTGTTTCTGTTTTTAAAGATTTTACTTTTTAATTATGTATATCTGTGTGTGGGTAGGTGCATGTAAGTCCAGTGCCCACTAAGGCCTAGGAGAGAGTGTCAAATCCCATGGAGCTGAAGTTACAGGTGGTTGTGAACTGCCCGAATGGAGCTGATTACTGAACCAGGATGCAGAGGTATTCCAGGTGTGTGCCACTGAGTCCAGCTAGACTCTTAATTGACATGTCATTTATTTTTGAAAAGGACAGGCCAGTTACTTTGCTCTTTTACCTGTGAGTTCAGAGATCCTCTTATGCGATCAGAATAACAGTTTAATCTGGGACTGAACGTGCCAGTGTCTGTAAACATGAGTGGCAACAGTCTTCGTGTTGACACTGATTCAGGATTATGTAAGGCACCTTGCGTCATCCTCGAAAACAGCACATAGGGAATATAAGTGAAGTGATACCGCATCCACTGGACCTTAGGTTTCCCTGATCACAGAAGTCCTTGAACAGACAGACATACACATACCTCCCTTGAACATAAACTTCCAAGATGACTCAAGTATTAGATGTAGTGTACTCCTTGTCTAATAAAAATGGAATAGCACTGGAACTCAAATTTTAACCTTAACTAATAAAGCTGCTAATTAATAACTGAAAATAAGCCTGCTGGCTCTGGAGCCTGTACTCATACCCAAATTGCCAGGTGAGGAATTCAGGTCTGGTTGTTTCCTTTGGTTCTAGCAGAAAGATACCACATAATGCCCAGGCCTTCCATGGCACAAGTGATGCCCCGCACGGACTATCTTAGAGCGGCAGCCTGAGACTTGGGGTGTTGCTCTAGCTAGTGTGTTTGCTGAGTGTGTATGAGGCCATGCTCCTGCTGCCTTCCCCAAACAGAATTCCAGCTTGCTTTGGAGCATTCGGTCCCGTTAGCAGGTCCAGGGTCAACTTCCGTTTTTCTAAGTTCCTGCCAGAGCTGAGCACTTCTCTCTTAACGTACTTTTCTTCTCAGTGCTGGAGTCAGCATATGAGAGTCCCCTCAGAGGAGCATTTTATTTTAGTGTGTGTGTGTGTGTGTGTGTGTGTGTGTGTGTGTGTGTGCAAGTGCATGTGTGTGCGCACATGTGTGCAGGTAGCCATACTGAGAGACACGGGGAGGCCAGGGAATGAGATCAGATATTCTTCTCTGTCACTCTCCACCTTATCTCTTATGGAACCTGGAGCTAGACTGGTGACTAATAAGTCCCAAGTCCCAGTGAGCCTCCTGTCTCCACCTTCCATAAAGTTTCACAGTTTTTTGTTTTTGTTTTTTTTTCCCCCCTGAGACTTGGTTTTTCTGTGTAGTTTTGGTGCCTGTCCTGGATCTCACTTTGTAGACCAGGCTGGCCTGGAACTTAGAGATCCTCCTGGCTCTGCCTCCCGAGTGCTGGGATTAAAGGCGTGTGCCACTGCTGCCCGGCCCACAGAGTTTTTTGTTTTGTTTTTAAAGAGCAGATTTCTGGGATGGAGGTATAGCTGTTTGTGTGTTTAAAGCATTTGCATATGTTGAGAAGGTCTGGGTTGATCCCCAGCACCAACCAACCAAACAAATCCGGTGTCCGATTTCACCCCCTGAGACTATGAATGAATATGCCCCTGGCGTGTCCTAAGAATCTGCTTTATGCAAGTCACCCCACACGATTCTGAGGCAATAGAGAGTAAGATTGTGAGGCTTGTCTGGTTTGGAAGTGAGAGGTGGCATAGGTCCCAACCGGTCTGCCTCTACATGTTTATTATCCTGCTGTTATGGATTAGTAATTGATCAACACCCTTCGACTTTATACATTAACAGAACCACAGGGCAATTAGCATATTGTGTTTTCCTATAGGTTCACTATTTTTTTTCCCTTCATTCAGTTAGGTGGCCAGAGCTTATGTGGTCCCTGCCTCCAGGTACTTGGAGGACGGGCACAGAAGCTGGCCAGAGCTTATGGTGAAAACCTGTACTCACTGGACAAACGCACCGAGGTGTTCTTGGGGAGGGAGAGCTTAAGAGATGACTGTGTGATGGCAGTGACGGCGAAGAGGTTGAAAGGAGGCAGCCCAACATGGGAAGTGGTAGTGACAGGGATTCATGGTGATCTCAGGTTAGTGGGAGCACATTCACACACACACACACACACACACACACACACACACACACACACACACACACACACACACACACTCAGGCTCAATTGGGGGAGCTGTCTAAAGACAAGACACTTCCCCATTTTCCAGGTCCTGTTTTAATTACTGTGGACAACATTCTCATCCTGCCTTTAAACCTAAGTCAGATTCTAATGTGGCCCCTTTTGAATGCCAAGAAGCCTTAAACAAGGAAAGATAGAGTGTTCTAACAATTTAAAGGGATATGCTGCCTCCAGCATGACTTGGTCCCAGAAACCTGACTGGGTCAGAGAGGGAATGACAAAAGGACAGATACCCAGACACATGTACAGGAAAGCTGGAATCAGGTCGGTGGTGATTGATCTTCTGGGGCTACTCAACAACAGCCCAGAACCTCAACATGTTCATTTTGTACGCACAGGAGGAGGAGTTAGCTGGTTTCTGTAGGAAGGTAACACACGCTCTCCTAGGAGAGCAGTCTCAGGCTGTCCTGGAACTCACTCTGTAGGCCAAGCAGGCCTCAAATTCAGAGATCTGCCTGCCTCTGCTTCCCAAATGCTGGGTTTAAAAGCATGCATGCACCACCATGTCTGGCTTGAGCAGTATTCTTAAACCAAGTAAGAAATGAGTTGATAGTATCCATCTTACCCACCTTGTGGGTCTCTTTAACCTTCCACAGCTTCTCCACCACCAAGCTTGTCGTGTGGCAGGGTTCCCCCACATTCTGTCCATAGCCCCCTTCCCTTTTTATACCATTCTCTTCCTAAGTGAAAACAATAATCTCCTCGGCTTAAATATCATTTACGCAAATTGCCAGGGCCCCATTCAAGCACCACGCACAATCTACGCTCAACATGTTAACTAGAGTGTGAGTTTGTTGTCTTCCCAAGCATGCTCCTCCCCCCATTGTACTTATTTCAATAAACAATTCCTGGATCAATGTAGGCACTGCAGTAAGAAAGTTGGGAACCATTTCAACGGTTTGTTTTCATTTGACTCTTAATCTCACTCTCTATATCTCTTACCATAATTCTCAACCAAACACCACCACCCCATCTTGGCTTGCCATCTTCTCTTGAATTATTGCTAAGGTCTCTAAATGGCACTCCCGTCACCAATCTCTAGTCTTCATTTAGCATTGCTAGTGAATAAAAAACCAAAAAAATAATGGCCCACGTCTGAAAACTTGCACAGTTCTCCATTATTTAAACTGCAGCAAAAGTCTCATTTCTTGGGCACAGTGGACAAGACTTCATGTTGGAGCACAGAACCAGCGTTTGACCTCTTTGGCTACATAAAGTGCCATTCACCGTGCCCTATGTGTGCATGCTGAGTCCTGATGGCTCCCATTCCTGATGGATTTAGGGCTCCTGGATTTTTCACATTTCTCCTGATCCCACAACGGCCTCAATTTTTTACTTAAAGAAAACACATCTGTATGCATTCACCAGAGATGACCTCCTTTAAAAGCTTTTCCTGCCCCCTCAAACACCTGTAAATATTTATCATAGCATTAATAGCATTTTAATTACAGTTAATAGTTTTCATGTCTTGTGATCTCTTGAGTTCAACCATGTACCTCAAGTGCTTTTGAATGATAAAAGCCTAGCACTGTGCTTGGTGTGTGACTTGGTCTGTGCAGATTGCCTGGTTTAATATTAACAATAATTTCTTTCACCCTTCAGTGTTTGGTTTGGCAAATTACACATTCATGTTCCACGCTGCACATGCTTGGCAAGTGTTTGAATGAATGAATTAATGAGCCCAAATTTTCCTTAATTGCCCAAAGATATGAGCACAGTGCAACTACATAACACCTATAGACAGATAATTGCACATGATAATAGTTCTTTCCCTTAGCTTCAAATTACCCTGGGCAACATAGCACTCTATTCGTTGTCTTTGGACTCACTAACTGATTTCAGAGTTTGTTGTGGCTTTTATTTTGTTTATTTATTTATTTATTTTGTTTTATGTTTCTGGTTCTTTTTTTTTTTTTTTTTTTTTCTTGAGACAGGGCTTTTCTGTGTAGTTTTGGTGCCTGTCCTGGATCTCTCTGTAGCCCAGGCTGGCCTCGAACTCAGAGATCTGCCTGGCTCTGCCTCCCAAGTGCTGGGATTAAAGGCGTGCGCCACCACCGCCCCGCGTGGCTTTTATGTTGTAATTATCAGGAAAGTGTCAGAATAGCAATTTTTTAAAAGTTCAAGGAATTATCCCCTTAGGTCTAGAATAAAGTCTAGAGGGCCAGCTGATTTCAGCCAGTGCTAATCCGTGGAATTTTGCCCAAAAGAAAAATGGCCTCCTGGGCGTCAGCTCCCTTTTCTATGTGGCCCAATCAAAATGTAGGATCCCGGGCGTCCGCGTCCTCACTTCCGCCTGGCCTTCCCTGACGCCTAAGTCCTCTGCGAGAGTCGCCGCCGCGCTGTGCTTCTTCCTCGGGACAGTTTCCGCAGTGGCTGCGGGCCGGCAGGATGAGCGCGGTGCGGGCGCTGCGGGTGCCGGGCCGTCATGGCTACGCCGCCGAGTTCTCCCCGTACCTGCCGGGCCGCCTGGCCTGCGCCGCGGCGCAGAACTACGGCATCGCGGGTGAGCCCGGGGCCGCGCCGCCGTCGCCGCCGCCGGGGCGGGCGCGGGAACGCGCTTCCGGGGGCGCGCGGTGCCGCCCGCCACCGCCAGGGGGAGACAGAGGCCCGGCGCGTCCTCCTAGGTCCCCTTCTCCCGACAGTGGGCGTTTGAGCCCAGGGGAAAATCTCCAGCTGGTCTTTTTCCTTCCTTAAGAAGGAAGGATGCACTTCTCAGCGCTTGGAAGGTGGAGGCAACAGAGTCACAAGTTCAAAGCCACCTTCAGCTTATACGTAGGGGGACGCTGACCCTGTCTTTTAAAAAAAAGACTAGAAAAGTACTGTGCTCGCCTTTTGCTTTCTCATGGAGAATGGAGAAATTTGCAGAGCTGTCCAGACGCCCGAGCCATGTATTTAGCCTTCTTTTAACTCGTACCCCATCTCTTGTTTACACAGTGTGTGGCAAACCATTGCATAATGTCAGTGATCCGTAGTATTTGTTTTGTCTACCGTAGGGAGAAAAAAAATATGGTTTCTGAAAATCAGTGATAAATAACGTATTTTCTTAGAGTTTTCACCATTAGCTCTTAGGGCTTGCATGGTCAGGTTTTCAGTCCTTGGCCTCCGGTTAGGATGAATACTTTAAGTCTCTTATAAAGGTTCCTTATAAGGAGCTGGTATATTTAAGATTTATTATTTTTTTTAGAGGTGTGTGTGTGTGTTTTGCTTGTATGCATGTCTGCGAACCACAGCCATGCCTGCTAAGGTCAGAAGAGGAGGTTCAAAGAGGGTGTTGGATCCCCTGGAACTGCAGTTCCTGATGGTTGTTAGTCACCAAGTGGGTGCTGGGACCAGAAACAGGGTCCTCTGCAAGCAGCCAGTGAGGCATCTCTCCAGCCCTAGAATTGGTACTTTTTCATCAGTCATGTTTAAGTGGAAGAACTTTAACACCTTGCAAATGAAAACATCTTAGTGATCACACGAACTCAAAGCTTAATTCTTTTAAGACTCTAGTAACACATGGGTGCGCATGTAAGCTTAATTCACTTTGATCAGATATTAGTAGAGTGAGGAGGGTCATCAGGGGAGAGAAAGAGACATTCGGTTTTTTTTTAATCAAAAAGAATTAATTGCTGGCAGATAACTGAAATTAATACTGTTTTAAACATTTGGCCAAAGAATATATGGTATTTCCACCAATACTTTGTCTCAAAATGCCACATTAGATGTGTTTTACATGTATCGTCAAGGCAGGAGCACAGTCTTGGGGGTCTATAAGCACAAAGTTTCTCCTCTGTCAGTAGAGATGGTAGCACTAACTTGAAAGGTTTGTGTGCCTAGCACCTGGCCTGTTTTGAGTTGGCACTTGGGTATTTTCCCCCTATGCTGGTGTCTGGATCTCAGTCAGGCCAGATTAGGTAAGTGAATATTTATGAATCAGGCATACTATGTAACTTGTAGGCCTTTTGATTATGTGGTCACAGTTATTTTAAGGGACATTTGTGGTAGTTAAAGCAGGTCCACCTTGCCTCATGCTCTGTCTTAGATGTGTCCTGGAAGCTTCAGCAGCATGACCGTATTTTTGTTTTTTTTTCTCTGTAGGCTGTGGAACCCTATTAGTGTTGGATCAAAATGAATCGGGACTACAGGTTTTTAGAAGGTAAAGTGTCTGTCTTCTCTGTTGCTGTGGTAAGACACCATGACCGAGGCAACTTAGAGAAGAAAGTGTTTAGTTTGGGTTTGTGGTCTCAGAAGGTTCGAGTCTGTAGTGACAGAGCAGGGCACAGCTGCGCAGGATCAGCTGAGAGCTCACGTCTCGATTCACAACTAGGAGGCAGAGAGATGCATGCTGGGAATGGGGCGAGTCTTTTGAAGTCTCAGAGCCTGCACCCAGTGGCACACTACTTCCAACAATACCACGCCTCCTAAACCTTCCCACACAGTTCTGTCAACTGGGGGCTGAGTATTCAAACGTATGACCTGTGGGGGCCATTCGCCTACAAACCACTGTGGTGGCTCGAATTAGTATTAAGCTTACGTATATTCTCAACCACTGTCAAAGTCTTAATACTATCCCCCTTTGAATATTTGCTGCTAATAGGTTTTGATTTATGATATGAAAAGAAACTTTTGCATTGGCATGATATAGAAATTATTTTTTCTACTTAGGCTTATGGCACATTCTCAAGCTTATTAGTGTCCATTTAGAAACTGCATATTTTGCTGGGTGATAGTGGCGCATGCCTTTAATCCCAGCACTTGGGAGGCAGAGCCAGGCGGATCTCTGTGAGTTTGAGGCCAGCCTGGTCTACAGAGTGAGATCCAGGACAGAAACCAAAACGGCATATTTTAAATTTAAACAGTGTAGTCTGTGGCCCACCCATCTTTGCTGTCTTAAATATCATTTAGCTTTGCTCAAGCCAGAACTAATGCCCATTTTATGGATTACCCAGTGTTTCTCTTCTCTCTGTACCTGTCTTCCATATTGATTGATGGACTCATAATACTTCATTAGGGTTAGTCAAAGGCAGAGAAGAGGGATTCTGTTAGAATGTGACTTCCTGTTCACAGCCCAGGTGAAAGATTTATGCAATAAGTATCATACAGCTCAGAGGAAAGATTTATGGGAGTGTTTAAAATTATTGGTCTCAGTATTTTGAAGCGCTTGCTGGTGCATGCTGGGAGTCACAGGCTACTGCAAGCAGCATGCCCTCAGTAGTTAGCATCATATTAGTGGCTGCAAACCTCCTGTTAGTTCAGCTTTCTAGTTATCTACCTGCACTTCCTGGGCCATTCTTCCTGCCTTTCTGAACCTGTTTCTGGGAAGAACCTGCTTTATTTATCTCTTGTGGTTTGGAAGACCAGATGAGATAATGTGTGTTAATACATGTGGAAAACTAAGGAAAAAAAAACTAACGATAAACTTGAGATTGTTAATCGTTTTCTGATCATGTATTTTTTTTTAAATTCTGGTGTAGCTTTGACTGGAACGATGGATTGTTTGATGTTACCTGGAGTGAAAACAATGAGCATGTCCTTGTCACCTGTAGCGGGGATGGCTCACTACAGCTCTGGGACACCGCCAAACCCACGGGGCCCCTCCAGGTCTACAAAGAACACACTCAGGAGGTAGGAGGGAATCTCTGGGATGACTGCTTTCCTTTCTTAGACTCTGGTTGAAATCTCTTTGGGAATGAACATGGGGAAATGTTTTCAGGGGACAAGGGTAAGCTTTAATGTCTCTTGTTCTTAGTAGATGTCACTTACTATTTTATTATCCAAACATTAAGTAGCTCTTGGCCTAAGACAAGACAAGAAAAGGTCAGGCTCCTCACTAGGCAATACCAGTGCCTCCAGCAGCGTACTGTGGCATCGTTTCCTCCACAGAGCGCCATGGTGTTTCTCGTGCTCTGTGAACATCCCTGCCATGCAGTGCCTTAAGGGGGGGGGGGTGTTCACAGGCTGTGTCATGACTGTCCCTATGCCTTAGAGAGACTCGGAATACATTCAAGTGGCAGCATCAAATACCAACCAGGAGGCTGAATTTACTAAAGGAAATTTAAGATCCATTGTTTGTAGTGTGTGTGTGTGTGTGTGTGTGTGTGTGTGTGTGTGTGTGTGTGTGTAATATGGACTTAGGAAATAGTTTAGACTTTAGAAGAACCAAACTGCATGCGTAAGTTTTAAGAAATGTGATGAAGACATTCTCTTTTGGTGTTTTACCTTGAATGTTTTAACCTCAAAGTAGCAACGGAGCCTTCAGATGCAGACTTGAAAATGTGCTCTCAAATTTTTAACCTACATTTATGCTTGTGTCATTGTAGGCCTTCAGTAAGTGTTTACTAATTAAATGGGAGACCATTAGTGTTTTGTGATAAAAATTGAGCTGTGTGAGCATCCTAGATAACATTATATGCATGGTTACAGTTATTTTAAAAAACCAGTATTCTACTGTTAGAGCTATTAAAAAAATCGGTATTTCTACAATTAGTTCTAAAAATAATGAGTGCTTTCTCTTACTTTCTTGTGTTGGGAGGGCTCCTTGAGTAGTGTGCTGGTGTATGACTGTGGTTCTAGAAAATTCCCTGGGTAATGGCAGCTTTGGTGAAGGAGGAACTCGGGTTTCAGGGTGTTCAAGGAAAGCATCCTTCGGAGCAGCAGGTCCCGAACTCTGACACTGTGACGTTCCATCAGTTTGCTGACAGTTTTCTTGTTACTTCTTGGATAGGGGCTCTTGTAGCCCAGACTGGCTTGGGGTCCCTGTGTAACTGAAAATGACCTTGAGCTGGTGGTGTTCCTGCTTCCATGTCCCAAGGGCTGCCATCACAGCTGTGAACTACCGTGCCTTGCTTATTTTGCTTTTTCTTATACAACTTGTGTTACAGATAACTCAATGTTTTAACTTTTTTTCTTTAGAATTATTCTTTCCTCTCAGGATTTTTTTTTTTTTTTTTTTTACAATTTGTTGCCTTTTATTGATTATTTATGTAAATGATAGAATGAAGGAGTAGATCATGAGGTAAGATCTAGTTACAGGAAATGGTGTGCCTGCTTTAATGTTTTCCTTTATCTTTTGTTTTGTTTTGTTTCTAGACAGGGTTTCTCTGTGTAGTTTTGGTGCCTGTCCTGGATCTTGCTCTGTAGACCAGGCTGGCCTCGAACTCACAGAGATCCACCTAACTCTGCCTCCTGAGTGCTGGGATTAAAGCCATGCTCCACCACCTTTATCTTTAATTACTGTTTTGTCTGCTCCAAAAGTAATAGTCATGAGCCATCGGGTTCATAGCTGTATATATTCATTTGTTTTTAATGTATGTTAAAGCAAACGTGTACTGAATGTATAGACCATTTTCATATAACCAGTGGTCTCTGTACAATCTCTAAGAAATTCTGTATAGAATGTCCCTGATGGCTGATCACCCAATCTTTATGGATTTTTCTATTTCAGGAGCTAATGTATTTGACTTTTAAATTGTCTTAATAATGGTCAGAAAAATGGCTTCTCTGGTGCTCAAATCTACTTCCTATTGCCGCCAATCTTTGCTTCACACCCTTCTCTGAAGAGGTGAACCTCAGCCCACACCTTCTTCCCCTGGAGAGAAACTTTGGAAATAGCCATCATGTCCCTTTGGTTTTCCTCTTTAGGAAACTTGGCATTTCTTCATCTTGTCCTCAGCTGACACTACTTCTGCCCTTCTAGAATTCTCCTTTGATACTCCTCTGTCTCTTTAATGTCCTGCATTTAATAGATTCTGAAATGTCGTGATCGGTACCCCACAGTCTTGAGCCTTTAGTTCTGGTGACATTTTCTGAAATGGTCATGCAGCTTCCCTTGCCATGTCGTGTCTCAGGGTGGGGTGACTTTGGGATCACAGAGAAAGCACTAGATCTTTGGTATGTGAGCTGGGGTTGAGTCTGTTTCCTTTATTCTCTAATTATGAATTGTTTTGTTTTGAGTTGAAGACATACTTTGTTTTGTGCTGTGTGTATGTGTGTACTATTCTGGATTGTTTTCCTCTCATAAGTTTTAAACATTACGTTTTATTTAGGTATGTATTTTATTGGGGGGGCATGTATGTTATATATGTGCACATGTGTGTTCAAGTGTGTGGGAGTGGCACGTATATTATTTGTTTGTGTGTGCAATGTATGTGTGCAACATGTATGTTATGTGTTCGAGTGCGTGTGTGTGTGTGTGTGTGTGGGTGGGTGGCATGTATGTTGTGTGTTTGAGCGTGTGTGCAGAGGCCAGAGGGAGGATTCTGGGTGTCCTTTTCTATCACTTTCCTCCTTATTTCTTTGAGACGGAGTTTCTCACCGAACTCAGAGCTAGCCTAGCAGCCAGGAGGCTCCAGTGATCCTCCTGTGTCTGCCCTCCACCCCCCAGAACTGGGGTTACAGGTGCACAGCCACACCCCACCTTTTATGGTGTCCTGGGGATTAGAACTCATGTTCTCATGTTTGTGCAGCGAACACCCACTGAGCCATCTCTCTAGACCCCGCAGGGTAACGTTTGATGAACACTTTGGTTGTTAGCTAAAAGTGGCTCTTACAAATTTATTGTTTGATTACTACTAGTATTATTATTACCTTTACTGATTTGCTTGTTTATGTGAACCAACAGCCTTTTTGGATGTTTTTTTTCAGTGCACACTCACGTGTTGATACTGACTTGTGTGTTAGTGTGGGCTGCTGTTGAGGAGCAGGGTGTCTATGATTAGTACTAGAATATGTAGTAAGCCAAGAAAACTCACTAGTCACCTACACCCAGTACTCCAGGAGGAGTAGCTTGTAGACAACAGAAATCTATCATAGTTCTAGAACTGAAGTTCAAGGTCAGAGTGCCACAAGATCAAGTTCAGCCTTCTTCCTGCCGTTGACATGATCCTATTGTCTCATCACGTGATAGAAGAGGGTAAAGAATCCCTAGTTTTGTTTGTTTGATTGTTTGAGGTTGATATGTTTCTGCCTACACAAAAGGCCAGGGCAGACCAACTTAAGAACAGATAAATGCAGGTTTATTGGGCATGGCTCTTGGGCGGGTTCACTGGTCCTAAAGAATGGGGCCAGAGAAGTCATGCCCAGGCTAAGACGGGGAGATTTTATAGACCTTAGGCTAGGGGTGATGATGATGTACCAGTCAAGAGCTGGGACTGTGCCCAAGTATGGTCAAAAGCTAGGTCCTAGGGCTGGAGAGATGGCTCAGAGGTTAAGAGCACTGACTGCTCTTCCAGAGGTCCTGAGTTCTATTCCCAGCACCCACATGGTGGCTCACAACCATCTGTAATGAGATCTGGCGCCCTCTTCTGTATACATAATAATAAATAAATCTTAAAAAAAAAAAAAAAAAGCTAGGTCCTAGGCGGGCACTTGGGTGTCATTCCTTTGTTCAGAGTTTTCTCATCACGGGTGGGGTGGGGGGAGGTAGGGCAGACGAGGTTTCCCAGATTGTGCAAGGGAGAGTCAGGGTTCCAGCCCAACAGAGGTAAAGTCTTATTCTTAGTCCTGTAGACCAGGCTGGCCTGGGACTCACTGTTGGCCCTGTTTCCCAAGGGTTAGGATTATAGTCCTGAGCCACCATGCCTGGTGGGAATCCCTTTTATAAGGACACTCACCCCATTCATGAGGACTCTACCCTTCCTATCTAGCTACCTCCTGAAGGACCCACCTCTTCACATCAGATTGGTGGCCATGATTTCAACACATGAGTCTGAGAGTGGTGAGGAAAGGAGGGATGCAAGTCCATTGCATATTCTGAGTACTAAGAAACGAAATAATTCCAGGTCAGAAACTAACGTCTATTTGTGGAATAAATTTGTAACGGAGTGAGCACAGACAGTTCCTGTTTTTTTCACCAGTGTATTCAGGAAAGCTACATTACAAAGTAAAACAACAAGCAATGGATTGTCTCCTGTGCAGCTAAGTTAAACAAGGATGCAGGATGCACATCATGGCTTTGGTACCCTGGGCTTTGAGTTCATAACTTGTATGCAGAGTAACCTTGGATATATTATTTGTTTTTCCTAAGCCCCAGTCTCTTCATTTCTAAACTGAGTACAGGAGTAGTTTAGGTCAGGGTCTTAGGGATGTTTCAACTCTAGCTAGCACTGACTAAATATGAGCTAATGGTATGTGCTTTCATAGTGAGATTGGGAAAATAAAACACTGCATTTCTCTAGACACTTGACTTCTTTCTTTTTCGTTTTTGTTTTTTTGAGACAAGGTTCTCTGTGTAACAGCTCTGACTGTCCTGGAACTCACTCTGCAGACCAGCTGTCCTCAAACTCACAGAGATCCTCCTGCCTCTGCCTCCTGAGTGCTGGGATTATAGGCGTGCACCACCATGCCTGTCTCTAGGTACTTGACTTCTTGTATTTAATTTTAACTCTAAAAATTAGCTTGTAGGGTAGTAGGTTTCCTACATGGGGTTTTCACACATACTTCAATTCCCCCTCCAATTTCTCCACTGTATCCTTTGTCCTCCACCAGTCTTCCCGTCCATCTTGTTCTCCTGCGTTCCTCCTGGGAGAGGAATGTCCGACAGTCAACTTCAGATGGAGCGAAAAGGGGAACGCCAAGATTTAGGTGGGGTTAGGCCTTGAGGATTGAAGGGCTTGTTAGAACCAAAG